TAGTAGGCCTCTGCCGAAAAATTATTCAAGCCGGAGCTACGAAAGCTCACTAGACGGCGCTGCTTCGGAATGTAGTAATAAATAAAATTAAGATTAATGGTCCTTTGAAAATGATATGACTCAACCTTTTAACAAAATGTTTCAAAGGGAAAATCCTACATATATATATGCGCACTTTTAACACAAAAAATAAGCTTGAAAACTACGGGTGCGAGTTATACGCCGGTTATAAAAATGATAGCTTTAATAATAATATTAATAATAATAAACATGAGAAAAGAAAAATTTTAGACTTTTTCGCGTAGATCGAAATACTGCTTCTTTAAAAGAAAAGAAAATTCTTTAGGAACTTAAAGGGTTGGAGTTCTAGAAGCAAACCTGGTATAGTATTTTGAATAAATTTCTTCAAAATATAAGAGCATTCCATAGTACTTTTCAGGTTTCTCCGTAAAAAAAGCGGGTGTGCGTTACATGGCGAATATACCTAAAAATTAAAAATTGCAGCTTGAAAGTATAGGTGCGCGTTATACGTCGGATTTTATGGTATATATCTATATAAGTCTGTATGTTTGAAATGTGCCTTTTGCCAAGAAGATGTTTTCTTGATTATTAAGTGTTATATTCATGTTATCGTAACGTACTTAAGGAGTCTTGGTAGCTTTTAATTTTATTTATTGATGTAAAAGGACATTTCAAACAGCAAACATATAACTGGACATCCCTGCATAAAAAAGACGAATACGAGCTGTAACTGGTTAAGATACGACGAAGACAAAAGAAGGGGACTTTCCAGAGTCTTGGGTATTTATATGAAGCGGCAACAGGAAATCATAGAATTCACGTGATTTCCGTGGACCGAGTCTACTTTTGGTAAAAAGATATCGTACGACAGAAAATAACGTAAGCTTACTTTAAAAATGCAAAGTTGTTGCTTTTCAAAAATAACTGCTATAATTACCCCGTTATGCGGGAAAGCTAGTTAATTATTTACGCGCGAGTCCTGAAGGCCAGGACCATTACAAATTAAAAAATTGTTTAGATGAAATTAAAGGGGCAACTTAACTCAGTGGCGCTGCAGCCCATGAGTGCCAAGGCCCATTGAGGGATCACCTCAATATACGTGACCTTGGGCCCTGAGGTGCATGAGCAGGTGGTCAGTCTGGCGTGAAACCCCCAGTGTTAAATTCCCAAGCAAGCTTGGTACTCATTTATCGACCCAATGAAGGGATGAAAGGCTGATATATATATAATCCACAATAATATATACCTAAGAATAATTAGAACAGAAGAAATATTAGCCTACGGTGCTATTACAGGGCCCTCCATCCCATACATGACATATAGAAATGGAGCGATTGTGAAAGTTCTCATGCTGGGAGAAGAACGCTTTTGATTGGCTGAGCCAATCGTTCGGAAAAGTTCCAAATTTCTTGGACTGTTCTGGTGCATGAGAGAGAGCTGAGTGGTCGCTTTCTTATTGGATCACAGCATGTGAGGAAAATGACTGTCATTGGCTGCTCAAATCTCTAACAAAGAAATTTAAGATGATTGGGGTGGGGCAAGTTCAGTAGTGAGAAATACGATAAAAAAGAAATATTAGCAACACAGTTGTATAAAAGCAAACTTTTGGCCGTAGGAACGAAGAATACAAGTTTAGACATGTTTTTTGGCCAGCCAAACTTCACCTGTAATTTGGCTATACTCCTGAGCCATAGAGAAAGGAAGAAACATTACAAATATATTATTATTCCCAAATAGAGTACATAATTGCTAATTTAATAACATAACTGGACAATTTATTTAACTAATTACTAGTACAGAGTTAAGGTCTTTGTATAATACTATACGATTTGTATAATATTACAAACTTACCACGTGAACTTAACATCTAGTTAATATTTCCTAATACAAAAGGATGTATGAGTAGTACTGCATAAAAGTAAAAATTAGTAAAATAATGTGTGTATGTGTGTACATGCATCATTAAGTTTTCGAGCATTCATTAGAGAATTGATTTATCCTACAGTATAATTCACTTTTCCTAATGTGCATGAATTCGGTTTTCGGATACACACCAAAAAATTACCTTCGATAAAAATGCACTTTATACAAAGCACGCATCAAGAGCATCAATATAAACACACAAAGGGTACCATAAAACTTGTTTATTTATATATACATATATATATATATATATTCATATTTTATTCTTAAATATTATTCTTTAATTGAAGTAAAGCCATGTTATTTCTCAGAAAATTTGTTTTGTGGTCTAATTAATTCTGTAATTATTACTAGATTAAACACAATTACTTTATTTATCATATCAAATGACGCAAATTTTGTTCTATAATTCATCGTCTACAATTTTTGTGCTCAATTTATTGTAAGCATATTTCTTATATTGTTTCGTAGACCATATGTACACAAAAAATAGAATAAAGGTGTTGCTAATATTTATGCACCCCTTCATGTTTAGAATAATATTTTAAATAGTGTTAAATCAATGAATAAATGAATCGTCCATAAAACGACGTTAGATCTTTCACACATTGTGTCATCTTCATCTTTTTAAATTGAAACTAGTAAAAAGGACAGTTGAAAAAACGGAATCGAAAAAGTGATGGAATCTTAATACATATTCAGAAACTAAGTTTAATTATTTTTACAATTCATACAGTATGTTTTCAATATTACTTCTGATTTGTAAATAAAGACTATTGTTAAAAAGTGCAGTGATTAATAATTAATTATGATTAAGACCTATTCTATCTTTACTTTATTCATCAACAAGTTACAGTAAATTTAATAGACATTAAATTTAAATTCAATGAAACCATCATTAATAGAATTATTTTTTTAGTCTCACGTATCAATAGGATACCGCATTATAAGTGAATAAAAAAATAAATTGTACTAGTGGGGTTACTCCCTATCCACCTAACGGTGAACAAACCACCATTGTACAAATTATGTAACTGTTCATATTCATTGTTCAAATTGTAAAACTGTAATTTACATTTATTATGTAGTTCTATTTTACAATTCCTATTATTTTTAGTCCACTTACTCCCTATATATATACTGCTCAAAACAATTAAAGAATATTGTAAGTTTTATTTAAAATAAAGATATAAGCGAATTTTTTTTTTTTTGCCGAAAATGGAAAAAGAGAATCACAAATGCAAATTTTTCTGATTTTCAAACTGTGGAGTATGCTAATTTTGAGTTCGACGTCAAAAACGTCGCTTCAGCGGCAGCGAATGAAATTTGACTTTCAACTGAAATGAAGACAAGGATGATCGGTATTCAGTGACTGCTTTGTTTCGATGAGTACGATGTCTCAGCGAAGTCATTTAACCGATTCAGAAGCTTGGAGAGTTGTTGGTAGGTTAGAAGGGGGCCAAATTCAAGCCGAAGTAGCGCAAGCCATTGGAGTGTCACAAAGTGTGATTTCCAGGATCTGGAACCGTTTTTTGGAGACTGGAAGTGCAGGCCGAAGACCAGCACAAGGTCGTAGATGGGCGACAATGCCCAATGAAGATCGTTATTTAGTGTTAACGGCTCGGAGACACCGAAATATGAACGCTACTCTTCTCCAACAACACCTTCGCTCGGCTACTGGCACCACGGTTTCAACTCAGACTGTCCAAAACCGGCTCCATGGTGTAGGTCTGTATGCTCGCCGACCGATGGTATGTGTTAGACTAACATCAAGGCATCGTCGCGACCGCAGGGAGTGGGCAACAGAGCATGTGAACTGGAGGAGAAATGAATGGAGCAGTGTTCTTTTTTCTGACGAGTTCCGTTTTTCTGTTCATCCGGATAATAGGCGTATTTTCATCTGGAGGGACCGTGGCAGTAGGAATAATCCTGCGTTCTTGCACGAAAGTGTCAGATTTGGCGGTGGGGGAGTGTTGGTGTATGGTGGAATCTCCATTGACGGGCGCACAACATGCTACATCATTCGAGATGGACCTCTGACTGCTCGCCGATAGAGGGATGAGATCCTCAGACCTATTGTAGTCCCTTACGCTGCAGCAATTGGAGATGACTTCATTTTAATGGACGATAACTGCAGGCCACATCATGCTAACCTGGTGGAGGATTTCCTTTTGGAGGAAAGAATCGTACAAATGGAATGGCCAGCGTGTTCTCCAGACATGAATCCAATAGAGCACGTTTCGGACACTCTAGGAAGACGAGTTGCTGGCCGCCAACCACCCCCACAAACTCTCCAAGAACTGGAAAGAGCTCTTCTGGAAGAGTGGGACAGAATACCCCAACTCGTGATTAATAGCCTCATTGACTCCATGCCTCAAAGGGGCTCAACGTTGCTGACCGTCTATGGAAACCATACCCCCTACTGAAAATGATTTCCTTTGAAAAAAAACACCTTTTTTTATTCTTTTTTTCTCATATGCACAAATTGTGTTTTTTTCCTTTTGTACACAAATGCGCAATAAAATGCATTTTTTTCTGCCAAACACGTGTAATTTAATCTCATATAACCTACTACGTCTGTCGACCATGTATCAATCATCTAAAAAATTTCCCAGCCACAAGGTACACCTAAAACCGCAATATCCTTTAATTATTTTGAGCACTATATATATATATATATATATATATATATATATATATATATATATATATATATATATATATATATATATATATATATATATATATATGGCATGCAGCCAAAAGCAACGCAGTCTTCGCGCGCAGGCGCAATGAATTGGAACTGAAACTTGTGAATTAGTGGAAGAGAAACAAAAACTCTTGGACATTAGAGAGAGAAAAGAGAACGCGAGAGGTGCGCGAGCAGGCGTTACCTTCTGCATAACATTGTCAAACTTATCTACCTTTTTAATTAATTTTTGTTTAATGTTAAAATAAAATAGAAGAAAGACCAACGTCTTGGACCCCTTGTTGTCTCCCACATATATATATATCTAGAAAGGTATATCTTGAAAGGAAAATCGTTCGTTGTGTTCCTGTAGCGCAATGGATAGCGCGTTGAACTTCTAATCCGAAGGTAGTGGGCTCGCATCCCATCTGATAGGGCCTAATTTCTGAGAATATGATTTCTTTTTTACTATACTATTTTATTAGAATAATAAAATTTAATTAATGAATAAATAGTAACAAACAAACAAAAATAGTCCAACACCTTATACAGAAAGGAAAATGGACAATTGCAAGGAAGATCGCTTTCTTATTTGTTACTTAATATTGTGATTTTGTCATATGTATATACATATTTATATTAATTGTAACTATTTGATAAAAAGTAACTAAAATAAAAATTTTCTTTGTTGACCTAAATAGGAATTGACTTAATTTTTTTATATATATATTACTTGTTTTTATACATTGTAAGCAGGAAAAAAAATTAATTTCAAGTCTTCATCTGCGCATAACTTTTTAATACTCATTTTTACTAACTGTACCATATGCATAAATAAATTTATTTCGGCATCACAAAAATCATTGTTTATATATCGAGAGATATAGTGTTTGAATCTAAAGTGGGACTATTACAGCATAGAATGGAACATTGAGTGAGACAGTTGCAGCATAGAATGGAACATTGAATGAGACAATTACAGCATAGAATGGAACATTGAGTGGGACTGTTGTGCATAAATACTGCAATTGAAATTGACAGTGAAAAAAATAATTAAATTTTCATAGGAATGGAAAGATAAAATAAAACGATGAAAAAGTATAATTAAGATTAAAATGAAAAGTTAAACGAAAGAGGTTTTTTTTTAAATTACAATTAAGAATAAACTGGAAGAAGGAATTTAAATAAAAATCCAAACGTTGATATATATATACGGTAAAAATCTTAATAGAGAGTGTATGATGATAATTTTAAATATGTTTCCAATTAAAGATTATACTGAACTGAACTGACAAAAGCCAGTTAGTTGACATACTGTATTTAAAAAAAAAGGGATTCGATTGGAAAAAAAGTTAAACCCGGATTAATCGATATTGATGAAAAAAAACGTCGTTATTTTAGTTTTAATTCTTAATTAAAAATTAAGAAATGCATTTTTTCGATAATTTTGAGATTATAAAAGAATGAATTTTTGTTTAGAATGTGTAAAACATGTGGAAAAAAATTGAACTGTAAAAAAGAAGAATGCACAAGCAAAAAACTATTTATAAAAGTTCTTGAATATTAAGGAATGCATTTACAAAATATACACAGAGAGACCCAATAGCTGAGAAAATAGTGCCATAAGTATCAATATCATCATCGTCGTCATTACAGCGGAAAAAAAATGTCTCTTTAAGCTCACAGTCGATCATTCTGCCCTATGTATACGAAGTGTTATTTTCACAAATGACGTCGCATCATCTCATTGTATTAATGCATACACATTAGGAAAGCAGAAATATATTGTATTGGATCCTTTGTTTCCACTTTATCCGCCTTCTGGAATACACGTGGATTATATAATGATATGTTGTCTTTTGAAGCTTTCATTTCAGAAATAGAGTTTTGCCCGTGTTTTCAAAGAAATGAGTCGTGGTAGCAGTCCATATGATCAGCAATATACCATTTACAATTGTGAGAATCCCCCTGGATTCCACCCTGGACACCAAGATTGATTTGAGGCAAAGAACGACCAGACGACATTTTTACAATAACAAATTATATTTATTCACTTGAATCAATTATCAACCTTCCAATTACAAAGATTAATCAATAGGTCTACGTCAATGTGATTGACCCTTGTTATTAAATTAAATCACGAAATATGATACTAATCAACTATTAAACTCAATATCGAACGGGATTACCGGAATAAGAGGATCGAGAGATACACGCAATTTGAATTACTAGCATTCATTAAATTACCACTAACTTTATATGTTTACTCTTATGAGAAAGATCCGATAATCTAGATTTAAATCTCACCTTCCTTTTACTATCTCACTTTCCAGGCGTATCAATCCTTCCAATTATAGATCACTACCTAATGATCAGCGAGACGTTAATCGTACAATCAACTTGAATCTTCTTAGAACACTGTCAACTTAGTTCTTGGCGTAATAGCCTACTGTTAACTTACAACATTGTCCTTAAATACTTTGACTAATTTGCATATCTCGGTTTCTTCTTTTAGAGCTGGATGGAAGTATACGCGAATTTACAATCCCCAAAGACGCCTAAGAGTATTAGTGATTAAGTGCGGTACAGATCCGTCACACAATGAAATACGTTTAACACGAAAATACTTAAGATAATATAACGGTTAACATGAAATAATACAACAGTATACAAAGTACTATGTTTTTTCGAACATTTTGTTTTCTCTTAACACGAAAACATTTACCTTTCCGAAAACGATCAAAACACCGAAAACACCAACCACGAAGGCGAGATTTATAAGAGGTGTTTGAGAAAGTTTCTGTATTATTGAACTGCCCTGCAGTATCATCGGAAAAATTCGTTGCAGCAGATGATGATGATGATGCGCACACAGCCCCAATTATGACTGGTAAAGTGTTTTTTGAGTTTGTTCAAAGTTCAAAAATATCATTCATACAGATTCCGACAGAGAAAATGAAATGAATAAAGCAGCTCATGTTCCCTCATCATCTGAAATGAGGAACATCATGAAAAGTATGAGCAGTTATTTAGACGCACATTCCAATGGTGAAATGAATAACAATATGCACGACATCGAACAATTTCTTGGCAAATTGATGCTAAAAAAGACAGCACAAAGCAAAATACATCAGATTCTCTTCAAGAATTCAAATAATGAAATTTCAACAATTTCAGTTCCTCGGTTTCTTGTTAACCGATTTTCACTGTATATCGTTGAATAGAATTCTGATTCTATTGTAAACTGTCCCCTGAGTACTAGGAGAGCTCAGTGGTGCCCAAAAGAATTTTTCAAGGGGGGCGTCTAGAATCGAAAGTCCACCGTTCTCGTATCATGCTCCAATACGCCGCCCAGAATATTCTTTTAATTTTATCGATTTTCGGGAACAAAAAAACAAAAAATTAGTTATTGAATAAATAATTGGCATTAATTAATAAAAAAATACTTTATTGAATTTTACGTACTACATACATAGGATTATGATCAATCGAAAAAAAAGTCATGGGCTATGGGGGGATCCGGACTCGGGAACCCTATTTGTGTGCACCACTGGAGGAGCTTAATGTAATTAAATTTTAATCTTCCTGAAAATCTGATTTTTTCAAGAAGTCTTCTGGCGAAGGGACCATTCTTTTTCACTATAACGTGACTCAGTGTGGAAATGAAGGATATTCAATGACAGAGCAGCGGTATTGTTCTCGTTATTTGATAACGATTTGAAATTACGAAGTCCTTCGTCAATAACATGGCGTAGTTCTCTATTTCGAACTTTAATAAAAAAACAAAGAAATAAATCATGTACTGGAGGAAATTGATACTGACATTGTCAAAGTAAATCTTTATACAATTTAAGCAGAAATGCATATATATTCTAAGAAACTATTCCTCTTACTTATTTTCAATATGCACTTTAGCATTATAATTCTCCAGCCACAACGTATGAAAATGTGTAATTTACACCTGTGTTTAAAATTAAGAGAATTATCACTTTTAATTTGTTATCCCCAGATGGATTGGATATATTTGATTAATGAAATAAAATACGTAATTAGGATAGGCGAAAAAAATGGGGTTTTTTTCTTCTTTTTTGATAATTTTGCCTAACTATATGCAAAAATGCAAAAGAAAAAGAAAAGTTTTTAAACATAAACTGTTCTATTTATATATATATAAGCATCGCACTCGGAAGTTTTGAAAAATGGAGAAAATTCGCCATTTTTTGTCAATTTCTTATAACTATTTAACTTATCAAGACAAACTCTATTTTTCTAAATGGGCATTTTGGGATATAAGGAGAGCGAGAGAAAAAATTAAAAATTTTAATTTAAAATATTTATTGTTCAAGTAAAAAGCTAAAAAAAATATTCACTTATTCATTTTTTTGTAAAATGAACAATATTTTGTAATTTTATTCGACTTTATTTTTTCACCTTCAATGAACAAAATAAATGGTAAACATATTTTACAGTTAGAATATTTTAACACAATAAGTGGATCAATTATTGAAAATAATTTATTAAATTATCCAATAATTTTATTCAAATAATGTGTTTTAAATTTAGATTTTTGAGAAAACTCGAAAATTGATCCTAATAAATATCCCATTCAAACGATCTCTTGCTTCAGCATCCCATCATTTTCGAAATGTTTTTGTCACAAATTTGACAAAGCGTTCCATCGCTTGGGTGTGATCGGGAAGCTTTGTACGCGCTCTCACAGGTCATTTTTTCATAAGTATATGCCTCTTGTGTAATAGGTAAATGAAATACGCAAGTATGTGAATGCTGTTTTCCAAAAATATGTGAAATGCGCACTTTATATTTGAGTGAATGCTTACGCAATTGATATTAAAAATTTGTATCTTTGGAAGTATTACTTTTACCTTAGAGCACAGTGATTCTCGAACTGTGGTCCGCGAGCCCTGGGGGCCCTCTGCGCTTTTCTAGAGGATCCGCGAAAAACTCTTTTTTAATGTTAAGATTTCCCTCTTTCACAGACTCTGAAAGGCCTCGTGGAAAAATTGAAAGATCTGCCATCCTACACTAGATCCGTAAATTCCTTCAAACGAAAAAACTTTACTACCACTCAGTAGTATTTGAATCAATAAAATTAACTCAGTTTTTTATTGTTTGCAACTACATAACCATTACTACAAGGTAATATTTTGAAAGAATATAATATAAATACATGTGCAAATATTACGAACGGAAATCATAGCGCGACAATACGATAATGATAACATCCATCAAAATCATGGGGTCCGCGATGTCAGGCTGATACATATAAGGGGTCCCGGCGATCGAAAGTTTAAGAACCGTTCACTTAACTCAGTGGCGCGACATCCCAAGAAGGACAAGGCCATTGTGCCCAACTCAGTATACACGACCTTGGGCCCTGAGGTGCATGAGCTGATGTTCCAGGAGGTGGTCAGTCTG